TGGGGATGGGAGGCATCAGAGAGAGGCTCCCAGTGCTTATCCTAGAAGCTGGGGCAACATGGGTGAAACGGAGGCTACATGAGCTCCAACTGGGATTTGTGCCCCATTTCCTGAAGACCGAGGCTGAGGATGTTCTGTAACTGTGTGCTTTTTGGGGTGCTGTGTGGCTGGTGTGAAAGGCCAATGCTGACTTGCATGGGAAGAGTCAGCAGAGATTGGGGCTACCATGTTCAATTTTCACCTGCTCTCTGGGAACCCAGACAGTTGCTCCTCACTAGCTATTACCCGCCATCTGTGCTAGTGATGCTCTCACCCCGTGCTCCCTCCTCTGTCTCCTGGACCCTGGTGGGGAGAGGTACCTCCTAAGTGGAGCTAACGCTGCTCCCAGCCAGCTCAACACCCTCAATGTAGAAGAGCCCTAGAATAGCAAAACCCAGCACTAGGACCCTCCCATAACTGTCTCCTGTCCCTTGTGACCATGTAAGCAGTGAATGTTGCCCCTGTCCCACTATGTCCGGCAGCAAAAAACATGTGCCCATAGCCCAGAGGAGGAGCTGGTCTTTCATACCAAGTCTCTGCTTCCTCCAACTTCTTTAGAGCCTGAGTCACCAGCTGGCTGAGGCTGGTCTGGAGCTGTGGTCTCAGTCTGCACGCCCTAGGCCCCACCTGGGAAATTTTAAAGACCAGGGTGCACAATGCCAGTTAAACTAGGACTTCTGGTCTAGTGCTGGCATGTTTTACAAAGCTCTCAGGTGCAGCCAGGATAAAAATGGGCATTCTTCATCACAAGCAAAGGTGTGACTGGGAAGCATGGCAGTTATAGAGTATGGAATTGTTGTTAAAAGTTGAGCTTTCCTAATCCAAAAGCCTGAAATCTAAAATGCTCCAAAATTCAGAGCTTTTTGAGCCTCAGTGAGACACCACAGATGGAAAATTCTGTATTGGACCTTATGGAATAGGTTACAGTTGGAACACAAGTGCACTGAAAATAGTATATAAAACTACCTTCACCTGGGTGTACAGGGTGTATGTGAAACATAAATTTTGTGTTTAGACTCAGAGCCCATCATTCTATATGTGCAAATATTGCAAAACCCCCAAAGCCTGAAATTTGAAATACTTCCATCCCAAGCTTTTAAGATCAGAGATATTTATCATATAATAGTGCCAAGCACATTTTGCCTGTTGGCTCACACGCAGTTGGCACATGTGTAAAAGCATGAATGAATCCATTATTGCAAATTGCCCAGAGGCTAGGGCCTTCCTGTCATCTCCCACTGGGTCCCCACTTCTGTGGGCAGAAAAACATTTGCCCACTGGACACTTGTCTGCTCTGACAACTCAGATTTACACTGAGGGTAAACTTTGGAATTTATATTTAAAAACTTTCCTGGCTGATTGGGTGATTCCTTGATAGAGTTGTTTTGGGGCTCAGAAAGTACCCTTAGACAGGCTGAAGGAGAGGGGTCCCATGTCAGGTGCCACTGGTTTCCAGCCCAGATGGGAAGGCAACCCATGAGCGGTGTCAGGAGTGAGAGCTGTGGTGTGAAATCATGGTTCTCTTGGTGACCTGGCAGATCTACAGGATCCAGGGAGTTGCTGAAGCTGACTCCTGTACTGTGGTGTCACATGGCAATGCCCAGAATTGCTGCTTCTGTTGGTCAAAAAAAGCCAGAAGTCCAGATTTTGGAATGAAATATTCAGACCAGTAAGCATTTAATATCCCATATATGCCAACAGAGGGTGTGTCAAACAAAAGCTGTGGGTCATATATGACTTTAATCTTCTTCCTGGGACATCTGGGACCTTTTCATGGGGAATGGAGACCTGATCTTGGTCACCGTGGGATGGCAAAGGACCGATGTCCCTTCTGGAGAAGTTCCTTCAGAGCCCTTGTTTTTTTTGTTTTTGTTTGTTTGCTTTGTTGTTGTTGTTATGGGTACTGCCAGTCTGAGGAATGTCCTATGAGGCTGGATGGAGATGGACACACAGCATGGGGTTCATCCCTAGGGAGGTACAGAGCAAGCTGTAGTAGAAGAGACAGGCTGAGCTGGGAACCACCTTCCTGAACGTACACTATTACCCAGGAGACACTGAGTAAGTGGGATGGGGGAGCAGGGCTGTCCTGAGTGCTGCACACAGTAACAGTACCAGAGCAGAGGCCACAACCCAAGCCTGGTTTGGGTTCTATGAGGCAGATGTACTGGGGTCTGCAGTGCACCTGGATGGTAAGTGCAGCTGCACCCCTGGTGTGCAGAGGCAATGGGGGATGCTGGATGCTCCTCTTTGCTTCTGCCCCAGCGAGAGGTGCAGCCATGGCCAAGAAGCGAGGTTGCCAGGTGGGCCTGGGGTAGCAGAGGCCTGTGCTTTTCAAGAGACTGAAATTCAGATATTCATGTGGAAACCATCACTTTTGGTATTCAGCCAAGTGCATCTCCATTTTAGGGACCAGAGCATCAGAAACTGGCATGGGTGCCTCTCTCCTGGGCTTGCGCAGTCATGGTGCACTGTGTGGTCTCCAGACCAGATAGGGGGTGTTCTCATGAGGGCCCAGGAGAACATGGAGCCAGGGCTGTGTCAGGTAAGATAGCACAGCCGGAGTAACTGGAGTCAGGAGATCCGGTGTGTACCTGCGCCCACACCACCTGTGCCCTGTGAGAAGGTGCTGTTCTGGGTCACCTTGAGGACCATGAAGGGAAAGGAAACCCTATAGGTCACGTGCTCTGTAAACTGGGGATCACAGTAAGCACCTTGTATAGAAGGAGGATAAAGCTACCTTCCTCCACTAGCAGACTGCTAGTGCCTTTCTGATGCATGGTAACTAAGTAAACTGGAATTGTGGGTTTGGGATCATTTCTGTGCCATTATCCCTAAATCCCATGAGTGCAAATAATTGGCCACAGACTGTCTTGCATTATGAAGTCTTGTTAGGCATCCTCTTCTTTGGTCCCATCCATCCATTTACACATCCATCCATCTGTTATTTTATACAAACACACATTTGCCCACTTAATCATCCACCCACCCATCTACCCGCCAGCCTCTCTCTCTGTCCAGCCATGTATACATCCACGTGTTTATCTAGCATCCACCCACATACCTACTCACCTAGTCATTCATCTCCTGTACATCCAGGTCTCATCTGTCTATCCATCACCCTCCTTCCTTCCCTGTCTCCATCCCTTGCCGCCTCCCTCCATCATTCCCTCCTCTCTCTAGCTCTCCTTCTTTCTTTCTTCTTCCCTTTCTTTCTATACTGGAGGAAAACCTCTCTTCCCTGCCACCTTCCCAGATTCTCTGCCTGGGATTCTGAATTAGCCTGACCAAAGGGCCACAGAAGAAAGTAGTGCACATCACGGGAGAAGCGTTGGTGGTGACTTCAGAGTGAGAGTTAGAACTTAGGCGTAGGCAGCATCTCAGCAAAGGGACAATGAATTTTACAGAACCACAAGACAAAGGAAGGACCTGAGTTAACTGGGCAAATTGTGGGTTGGTGAATGCATGAGAAAAAGATGGGGATAAAGGTTGTTAGTAGTTGGCTATGTGAATCCTCTGGTGTGTGTGAAGGCTGGAAAGCATCAAAGTTGACTCTAGAGATGGACTTTTGTTCTCCCTTATAGAGAGGGAGAGGGGGTCCACCTTGTCAATTTAGGTCCTGCTTTTAGTCAAATGGGGGAGGGCAAAGCACTTTTACTATATCTGTTTCTTTTCCATTGCCTGCAGCTCAAAAATGGTCCTTATGCCAAAGTGCATGTTTTGGGGTGGTGGCAACCCAGAGAAAGAAAAATCATAGAGATAATACAGGAAACATCAGTGCCTCTAGCTTTATGAGGGTCTGATGTTTTGTCAGTTTTGCTTGGGCTGCCAGAAGTATATGGCTTCTAGCACTTCTAGGCTTTCCTTACCCGAAGAGAAGCATCCTCTGACTTTAAAGTTGATCTCCACCGTCGAACACTGCCTTGCTGCCAGGCTAGATGAGCATATCTGTGTACAGTCTGAGAGATTGTGTTATATCTAGAAATAAGAGTAAGTGGTCCACCTTATTCCACAATCGCGTTCCTTCTGCTTAGGGTCATCTGGATGACCCTTGTCCCTACATTCCCAGGAGAGCTGGATTTTGACATCTTTCCTTGTGCATGTGGCTTTGAACTTACTTACAGAATTGATGTTAAGACAAAATTGCTCCGCCAGCATGTTCGTCAGCAGCCCTGGTATAACCCAGCATTTATTCACTTCTTTCTGGACCCTTGTTCCCAGGGATGGAGGGTATCTCAGCTGTGTGGTCAGCAAAAATTAGATGGCCTGCTCCAGGGGTCTGTTGGCATCTTTCTCAATACCTGCTGCATGCCCTGGTCTGGGGTGGTCGTCTGCAGCCTGGCCTGGATCATCGCTGGGGAGGTGTTATTTCACTTGGCTGTGAGGAAGGGGCCCTCCCAGCTGCCACCACCTCGTGAACCCCCACATCTCCAGCTTTAGCTTGCTCGTGACCTGGGTTTCTGCTCCACCGCTGGTCCTGGAGATTACCTCCTTTCCAAGCCCTGTCTTTCTGTTCTATTTTTACTGGCCATCTCCGTTTGAAGCAAGGAGTTATTACAGTGAGCTCTCACTGCCACTCTGACCTGATGCCTGCATTTCTTCCTCTCCTGCAGATTGTTCTCAAAGGAAAAATAAAGGCAGCTGTTTCTTTTACATGGGAAGTTTCAACCTGCTGGGCCCTTTGGTGAATCCTCATCAGCTAGAGTTCCTTTAATGCTGGGGTTCACACATCGGGGCCTGAGCTCCCGGGGCCTCCCTGTCCTGGTTGCTGCACCTTTACTCAGGTTTGGGGGAGGAAGAGGGTGGTACTGAATTCTTGTGGCTTTAGGAACCAGTACATGAATTCACAAGGGCAGAGCTGGGCTGTAACAGTACAAGCTCCACAAGGGCTGGTCTTCACGAGGCACTGGTTTCTCCTTAATTTTCACATTCTCCATTGCTGATTTTCTTTCTCCCCCCGACAGAGACCTGGCCACCATGCCACGTAGCCCTACATCCAGTGAGGACGAGATGGCCCAGAGCTTCTCTGACTACTCTATGGGCTCCGAGTCTGACAGTTCCAAGGAAGAGACCATCTACGACACCATCCGGGCCACGGCAGAGAAACCAGGTGGTGTGAGGATGGAGGAGAGCCAGGGTGACACGCTGGTGATCCGGGTGGTCATCCAGGACCTGCAGCAGACGGTGAGCTCCTCTGAAGGATGGTGTTTTGCTTCAAGGCTTTTGTCCTTTTATCCACGTCTGGGTGGCATGGAACGTGGCTCGACTACCAGGGGAAATATACTTCCGGTTCACCCTGGACTCACAGGGCTGAAGACTCTGGACTGGTGATCCTTGTTTGCTGAAGAGGCCTGTGCTAGCATCAGCCCCACTGTGGTCTCTCCCTCCTCACTTTACACAGTCCAGTGTTCCTACTTTAGTATTCACTAAGCACTTATTTTAGTCCACTATGTGTTACTGTGATGAAATACATGGGGTGCGCTACTTTGCAAAAAAGAGAAATTTGTTTTGGCTCATAGTTCTGGAGATCCAAGGTCAAGGATTGCATCTGATGATGCCACCTTGCTGGTAGAGTAGGTGGTACAGAGCAAAAATGGGGAACATAAATGTATGTTTGATCTTTCCCTCTTTTGATAAATTCACCAGGATCCAACTCTGGATCTCCATCCTGGTGACCTTATCTAACCCTGATCACTTCCCAAAGGTGTCACCTTCAATCACATTAATCAGTTAAGTTTCCACTCTCTTATCCCAAACCAGGAAGCCTTGGGGGCACTCACCACATCCAAACCATAGCAAGCACCTGCAGTGTCCTAGGACCGAGGCCAGCCTGGAGCAGCTCAGTCTCACAGGAGAAGCTGAGTGGCAGTGTGGGGCAGGGGTCCACTGGTGCTTCCACCGCCCCTGCTGATACTCAGTGTGTGTACATCCTGGCACCCTCAGCTGTCCTGCTTCTTAGCGTGTGGGGGATACTGGGGCAAAGCATCCCTTCCCTGTGCTGCCCCTGCTCAGTGCCCAGTTGTTCCCAGCCAGGGCCACTGTGCTTCCTGTGCCACTGCTTATCCACACCTCCCTTCCCTGGAATCTGTTGCTATGGTGCACTTCCTGGTCAGTTTCTGGGCCTTTGTGAGCAGGTTTGCCTACCCCAGAGGGCAACCCCTGATGCTCAGATTGGGCAGAGGTGTGTTGGCATAGTAGATGGCATGGATGTGGCAGCAAGACAGGTTTCCCAAGGAGCATGCTACCTGCTGGGTGTTCCTCTGTTGCTCTTACTTCTGTCCTTTCTCCCTCCCTTTGCAAGGCAGGCAGATGAAATCAGAACTTCTTGAAGCAGAGATTAGTGCTCCCACAGATGACCTCTTGCATCTCCTGGGAGAGGGCTCAGTTCACAGGAGGTGCCCGGCACATGCTTGTTGGCCTTGCTGGTCTGTGATACTGGACCTCGCTCGAGGGTACTGACATGAGATTGCGTGAATCCAGTTATTAATGTTCACTCAGCAATTGTGAAAATCTCAGATGAGCCAGCAGCTGTCTTAGACATTGGGATGAGAAGCCACAGAGGGTGACAGGATAGGTCCCTGGGGTGGCAGAGGTGGTGAAGAGAGTATTTTGGGGTGCTGCGAGCCAGAGGGTGATAGGAGTGTGTGGTGATGGATTGGGCAGTGGGTAGCCAAAGTATCCTTTTCTCCAAGGCAGATTGTATTTAAAAGGCCCCCTAGAAGCAAGGCAGAAGTCACTTCTTACCTCATGTGGGGACCTCTGCACATTTGTTCCTACTTTTCGCAACAAAGTGATCACCAAAGCACAGAAAGCATTGATTGTGAGGTTACTGGTGAATTTCCTTGAGTAGGCATACAGAATGCTCAAATAACAAAGGCAGACTGTCTTGAAAGTGTTACTTGTCTGTGGCTCAGCTGCTGTTCTGCTCTGTGTCATATCAAGCCTCCCCTGCATTTGTGGAGGTGGTGTCTGCTTGCCCTGAATGACCTTATCTAACCTTGATCACCTCCCTGAGCTTTGTATGCTTCCTTTCCGTCTCTTGCATTTACCAGGCAGGCACTGTGCCACTGAGCTATACCCTAAGCCCCTGAGTTTTGCCTTAGAGATGTCTGATTTACCTTTTCCAGCTTATGGATCTCTCTATCTGTGCCTCTGTCTCTGTCTCTGTCTCTGTCTCTGTCTCTGTCTCTGTGTTCCTCCTTTCCTTTGTGTCTCCCTCCCTTCTTTCCTCTCTGGCCTGGATGCCTAAAGAATTGGTTTCCATTGCCAGACAAAGAAGTGTTCAGTGTTAGCCATTCTTGGTTTTTCCTGGAGAGCCTTGTGACATGCAGATTCTGTTTTTCCCTTTCTTTAAAGATGTCTCCTTTTATCCAATAATTTCTGTGTTTGGGGTCAGGCTCTTCTCTGTATCAAGAGTAGTAATTAACCTTATGCTGAATTTTCCTTCCCTGTGTCTGTGTCTCTCACTGCCTCCTTTGCTGGACACTTTCTTATGTGCTTGTATAATATCCCAGAGTCTTCTCAAACAGCGTGCTCAGTGGGATCAGCTCAGGTCCTTGCAACTTCTAATCTTTTGTAATCATGTTATTCCAACTTTCCACTTATTCTCATAGCCTTGTGTTCTCTCTTTCTGAGAACTATTCTTTCAGGTTGTTTGTTTTATGTCCTATTATTGTATTCCCTAACAGAAAGCTTTCTCGGAGACTTTTGTTCCATTAATTGAAGTGCATTTTCACCCAGATCAGAGGCTTGTCTGATTCTCCACATGCTCTTTCTTCCTCACGTATTGTTTTTCTTGTGATGTGCTTTCATTATTACCCTTGTCACCTCTCTCCATCTTGTTCAGTTGAGTGGCAGCAGTGTGATCCTTTTCTGAGAACACACAAGTGAGTCTTCCTGGCCTCCCTCGTGAAGGTAGATATGTCTGTCTGGCTGGCTGCCTAGCTTTTCAGATGAAAGCTGAAGGAGCCATGCATCAGTCAGCTTTGGGGTCACTGCGACACAGTACCTGATGCCCACAACTTAAAGGAGAACAAGTTTAATTTGGTGCATGGTATAAATGGATTCCATTCATGGTCAGCTGGTTCTTTGGAAGGGACATCACAGTTGAAGGACATGGTGAAGCCAAAGTGCTTAGTTCTTGATGGCCAGGAAGCAGCACAAGGGAACAGTGTCGGAGGGAAGGAGCCAGGGACCAGATGTAGTAGTCAAGGTCACACCTTCACGAGGTACCCAGACATACCCATAAATGTGCTTTCCTAAGCCCCTGGGGACTACTTAATCCACTTGAGTTGACATATCAGGATTAAAGGTCATAGGTGTGTGGGTTGGGTGAGTCATTCTGGAAGGTGAGGCCTCCTGCTTTCTGAGATTATCTTAACTGCCCTATCGGGACCCCCAAGTGAATACCGTGTCTCACCCTCACCTCTTCCATCATCCTGAAGCAATGATTCCCCAGCCCTTGGAGCATTTCTACTCAGTGAGCATCCCTGGCAGGAGGGTCTCTTCAGACAGCTGGCCCACTCACCCCCTCACATCTTCCCAGTCCCTGCCCAGCCAAGCAAGAAGTGATAGGGGCCCCAGGAGGATGAGGGGAGCACATTCCCTACCAGGCTTTTGATTCCATGCGGCTGTTTGAAAGGGACATTTCTGGCATTGAGAGGTTCTTGTATCCTCTCTTGATCCCTTTTGTAGGCCTTCTTGTGTTTTGAATCTCAAGACACAAACTTCATAGCCCCTGAATGCTGCATTTCTCAGTGACTGCCTCTCGGGTGTGAAGACTTCTGCACCCCATCACCTGTGATCCCATCACCCCAATCCTCTTATTTCAGGACCAGCTGTCCCTTGATCTCTGGTTCCTGGTATTGCTTATTGATAAGGGAGTAGGACAGGGACTAGGAAGTCTTCTCTTGGATTTCAGACCTGAGACCTGAAGGTCCAAATTGAGAGGCCAGAGGTGATAGGGAAGGATGTGGCTGCTAGAGTTGGGTACAAACCAGAGCAGGTGCTCCTCTGCTTGCTGTCTGGGGAGCAGTGATGGCTACTCCAACTGCGACACTGCACGGACCCTGTACTATGCCAATTGTAGCACAAGAGTCTACTCTATGCAGGGAAACCCAACACTGTACTTGGCAACACTTTTATAACTTTCTCAAGGGTTGCCATGCTGCATATACTATGTTAGGTCCTAATGTGTGTTGGGTAGATCTTGTTGCAGCCTTGAGGTTTGCAGTGTTTGTGTGTTTTTGAGCATCTCTGTTGAAGTGCTGCAGAGCTACAACAAGGACCAGCTTCTTCAGTGCTCAGATGGAATGCAGCCTGTAACCATAGCCGGATGAAGAGAAAACATTGCCTACCTATGCACCTGTCATCCGTGGAGAGGTTTATGATTAAACCTAGTTTGCAGACGAGGAAATGGAAGATCAGACACAAGAGCCAATGAGAGACAGAGCAGGTGGCTTGGGGATACTTAGCCATGTGCCTGGAAACCTGCTGGATGGGAACCCAGGATGCTAGCACTCACTGTGCCCTGTACCTTTTTGGTACCCAGGTCTGATTTGCACCTGTAGATGGCACTCACCATGGGAAGGTGGCAGCAGGCAGCCTGAGAAGCAGCAGGGGATGGAATTCAGCTGAGATGTGTGCTGAGAGCCTCAGGGCCTCGAGGTTCCATCTGTCAGTTAGGGACAGATGCTATCCTGTGAAGTGATCCAGCCCAGGAAGGTTGGGCATCATTACTCTGAAAATCTGAAATCCAAAATGCTGCAAAACCTTAAACTTTTGAGCATAAATGTGACAGCAAGTGGAAAATTCACACACTTCATTTCATGCAAAAATTATGAAAAGTGTTGTGTGAAATTACTTTAGGGCTATATGTGTAAAGACATATAGAAAAAAAATTCGGTATTCACATTGGGGACTCATCCCGAAGATACCTCATTACATACATGCAAATAATCAGAAGTCTGAAATCTGATACACTTCTGCACCACGAGCTTTGGGGGATGGACACACCTCTGTAGTAGGCATATGCTGAGCACCATGAATGTGTCTGTCATTGTGACCATTTGCCAGCCATTATGCTGTCTCTCTTGGGAGGCACTTGTCACTTATTGGAGGAGATAAAGGTCCTTTGTCATTTACTGTCAAGATACTGGATGAGGCGACTAGAGACTGGCAAGGGT